GTAGGAGTTCAAAGCCAATGCTTCTTCCTACTCTTGCTAAGCAACCTCTCTGCAACAAAACTCTCTGGGCGATGACATCAGCATCAGTCAATTAGGGACAATATAGTTATGCAAATACAAGACTCTCTAAAACCCAAGAGCACAGTAAATTAGGTGGCTTCAGGCTGCAACTGAAATCAGCTCTGAAATCAAACAGGTTTGAGGTCCCCACGTATAGCAGTTAGACGACTCAAGTGATGTTGCCTCTGTTGATTTACCTGTAAAGGAGGAGAGTATGATCTCCCTCAGGTGGCGGCAGAGCATACATGAGTCATGTAAACACTCAGAAAGGTGCCCGGCACGTAGAAACGGCCGGTGGCTCCCTCCACGGTGGGCATTCCATCCCCAAGTTTCGCTCAAGTCCCAGGGCAGGGGACTGTGCTCTTGCCACAGGCTAGAGCCCCTCAGCTCTACAGGCTGGCACCTTGACGGTCCAGATTGCCTGTTTAAAGATGCTTTCTGAATGGCTGGCCGACTGGATCACGACAGGAGAATGTGCCTGAATTCACAAGTCCAATAATAGCTTGGAAATAGAAGCCATCTGAAAATGTTCCTAAACTCTAGCTGGGTTGGCAAGGATTGGATGTGATTATAAAAAGCAAGTGAGAAGAGAATGTTACTGCAAGGAAAAGGAAAATTGAACCCATATGAGTTTTAAATAACTTAACTCCAATAAAAAATATTAAAAATTGTAATTCTGGCAATAATTAAATACTAACACAAATTCAACTGCTGTACGCTGAAATTCTAAGTTAAAAAATTAAAACTGCCACAACTGTATCCTACGGCCTAAATACCCCTTTTGTTATTAACTTACCTGTGCAAATAAATTCCAGGTCTTTTTAAAATGACTAATATTTTAAATTTACATTTAGATGTAATGCTAAGACTCACTAGATTAAGTAGAATTCCAGATTACACAGTAGGCTCCTGTCTCAACACTGATATGGAAATACTCTTAGCTTAAATATGATTCAGAACATACACCTGTGCTTTAAAATCCACCTGTAGCCTTCTGTCTACTGAAATGACGCTCCAGTTCTTTCCCCTCACCAACTCAGGTAGCACCTATTAAGGGACGTTCAGACATGTGGCTTCTTTCCTTGACCTCCTGCTGCGGTTTATTAGCAGGACCTGAGAAGGCACATTTAGGCACTGAGGTCCTTCCATAAAAGGTTTGCCTTGTTCGAACATCCGCCTGAACTTCGTATCATTTTTCATGAGAAAGATTTGAAGAGAAATCCGGCTGGCACAGTGAGGCAGAAAACACGAGCGTGTACAAATCCTATTACGCCCAATAGGTTGACAAATTTACTCCAATAAAAGTATCTCCAACCCCCTTTAACGGCTCACAATTGAATGTAATTTTTGCAACTGCAAGTAATTTAATGCAAAGTCATGATGGTTGTCTGAATTCTTATTCTTAACCCAGAAACCAAATAAAACCCAAACACACTCTCCAGGTTCTAATCCTGTATTTTGGAAATACCAGTATCAGCAGAACTGTAAATGCGCCTTGTTTTGTGCACACGTCACGCACGGTCTGCTGAGGCGGGGAGGCGAGCCCAGACCAACTTTCTTTTCGGGTTAATGCAGAGGTCAAGGCTCTCCCCGGTGACCCCTGGCACTTTCTTTAGAATCATTTCCAAAATCACTAGGGTTTTACCACAATGAGCTTGGTTTCTGTTGAAGTCAGACGGCTGCTGGGGAAGCAGATGGCTCTACAAAGCCATTGACCTGAACGGACTGGCCCGTTGGGGCAGAAGTCACTCCACAGCGTGGAGCGACACGGAAGGCGAGGCACCCTAGTAGCTGCTCTTGACTAGCGAACAGTCTTGCTGTACCAGGTTTCCCTCCCCACGGAGCAACTGTTCTACTTGCTCACCAATGCTGGGAAAGCCTTTAATAGAGAAGGTACTGAGACCTGTTTTCTACATTCAGAAGAAATGAAATTCTTTAAAAAAAAAAACAAAAAACCTATAAAAAAATGATAGGACAGTGTAGCCTGGAGGCAGTTCAAATCCTAACTTGCCACTTCACAGCTGTGCCCCCCACCCTGGAACAAAATCACTTCCTTGAGTCTGTTTCCCCATCTGTAAGTGACACCAGCCTCCTGAGTGTTACTGTCAAGATTCAAGTTGTTAAAATGCTCAGCACAGTAGCCAGCACACAGCAAGCCCTGGGAAGCCATGCTAAATGCGGCCGGAAGCTGATGAGATCACTGTCCACAGGCAGGAGGGGGAGGGAAAGAACCGGAGACACCTGGTGTAGGGGGCAGCGGCCCGGGCTCACCGCCTCCACACTTCAACCAAGGTGCGGTTTTACCTACACGGCACCTACTCAAGCCTCAAGTTTTGTTCCATTCAGTATCTGTCTTTACACTGGATGTTTTATCTGGAATCTTAATGGTCACATGGATGTCACCATTCACACGAATCTAGATCTTGTTTCTATTTCTTTTTATCCCACAGCACTGTGTAGTATTTAAGGCCCTGCTTGTCGGGCAAACCTTGAGGGAAAGGTCACAGCACCGAACAGGAGGGGCCCACCAGAGTCTTGGAGCAAGTACAGCCAGAAGGAAACTGCACAACAGGCGAGTGGTTCCTTCGCCCTCCCAGGCCGACCACCTCTTCTTGCCACCAAGGCACGTGCCTTTCTGCGGCCCACGGCTCAGGACTGGCTTCAGGATTACCCTGTACTCCCCACTCGCAGATCTTGGGAAGACGGGAAAATGACAGTGCCCACTTTGCAGGGTGATTCTACAGGTTACATGTGGCGCTGAGGCTCAAAAGAGAACACAGTACTCTATCGATTCAGAGCTACGCGCATCTGTTATTTTTCCAATATAAATTCAGAAGTTCTCAAGTGTGCGCTGAATTTACCTGGGGGCTTTAAAGTACAGGCTACCCAAGCCCCACCCTGAAATAGCCTAACTGGAAAGCCTGGCTGCAGAGCCTTCGAACTAGTTTTGACAAGTCCCCCAGGTGCAGCTCAGAAACCACTATGCTGGGGGGCAGGGCACGCAGCTCCTCCTGAAGTCGGGAGAATGGCTCACCCACACTTGTGATGCTCTCGAACACGCCCTCAGAGTGCTTTACCAGAACCTTCACTTGAGAAGCCAGACCCCCAAGCAGCAGCACAGGGCTGGTGCCACCAGGGAGGACAGCGGCCACAGGCTGCTGTACCTGGAAGAGCTGACACAAAATGACAAGCCGTTTTCTGCTTAGTCTATCAGCCTAGTGTTTGGAGCACTTTCAATGCGGTCTTTACATCCAAGCCAACCCTTTCCTCAACCGCCTGTGCTCGATCCGTTTTCAAGGTAAATTACTCTTTATCAAATTTTCTATGGATGTAAGTCAATATATCCAAAGTGAGGTTCGATAGCAAATGAAAATCCACATGAATAAAATATCAAATGCATTAAATGAGCCATAATTTTAGTGGAGTCACTTTAACATATCGCCTAGGTATCAGCACTCAGATGTTAAGCTGGGAGCATCTTCCTGACCACCTAGACTCTGGGGAATTGTGACAAAGTGAGGAGGTGTTGAATTTGAAGTGTAAGAAAGGGGAAAAGGCCTGCTTCGGGGTGGCTGGTCAGGATGAGTCCCACCACGAGAATGTAAGCTCCGCAGGGGTAGGGATTTCCATTGTGTCCACTGATGTCTCCTAAGCACCCAGGACACAGCCAGACATATACTAAGTACTCAGTAAATCGATTCTATAAAATAACTTGCTAGGAAGTACTTGCAACAGCCAAGTTAAAAAACAGCCAGCCTAGAGAGGGATTTATTAACAGAAACACTGTGAAATGCTTCAAAATAGTAGCAGGGACAGAAGGCTTTAGTTATTAGGTTTCGATTTGTAAAAATGTTCAACTCTATAAAGAGAAAAAGCAACCAAAATGGGGCAGCTCCTCCCTGGTGAGACGGATGTCACGTGGCTTCTTGGGGACTCCACCACTCAGTAAACGTGAGTGCCTGTGGTGTCCCGTGTACTGCTGAAGAGCTGGGGACGCCGTGAACGAGCCTTCACCCAACCCTTTCCAGAGTGGTTCCGGATCCAGCAGAAAAGATCTCCTTCTAGAAGGAGCACTCAGAGACCATCCAGTCCAATCCACACTGTTTGCAGATTAGGAACTACTATCTAGAAAACAAGAGAATTTGCCCAAACCAAAGTCAGGCTAAACCACCAGAGTCATGAGGGCACTTGTTACAGGCCTGTTTACTGAAGGCCGCAGATGGGCTAGCGTGGAAACCCACTTCCCCCCTGGGGTCAGCGCTCTTCTCTCTCCCAGTTTCAACTCCTCACAGGGCCCTGCTGCATGTTCAGTACTCACTTCAGCAGAGTGTTTAAAACTGCTGATACTGAAGGCCATTTCCAAACACCTGCCGACCTCTCTCCTCCACCTCCCTGGGTTTTTCTAACGTAAGAATATCATAAGCCAGACAGGTGAACATCTGGCCAAGGGGAGTTGGTCATCCCTTTACCTCCTTTCCCTGAGGAATGACACAGATGGTGTTAGAACAAGTGCTCTGATGTTGGATTACATGAAACTGCTTCTACTTGATCGTTTTCAATCTTAAAAAAACAGCAGTTTCATATAAATTTAACACAAATGTTACAACTTCTTTGTTTCATTCTTTGGAGATCCATAAAAATAAACATAATCCACAAACTAGAGTTAACCGTCAGCAAGCACAGAGGATGCTGAGCCCCCAGAGATGGAATTCTTCATTTCACTCTTACCAAGAGCGAGTTCACAAGGTACTTCTCAGCACCACTGTCTGCCTGCCATCTCAACAGAACTGCAAGTGGAACAGGCACGGGTCCAACACAAAGCAAGTGAACAGAGGCCCAGCAGGCTGACTACACAGGAAAGAGTGCAGGCTTTGCACAGCCTCCACGCACCTCCCCTTAACTGCTCCCAATCATGTACAAAATGCAGTCCTTTCACAAGCTTTTAGAAAGTTTTTTATTGGTTACAATTATGTAAAATGTATCATTTAAATTCTCCCCTAGTTATTAAGTGTTTGCAGCAACAGCATAAAAAAACCTTTTTTTTTATACATCTGACAAGCCCCAATGATTTCGATGCTGAAGAGGAAAAACAGCAAACACCACTCGTCTATAATTAACCTCTCTCTCAAGGCTACATTGGTTAAAATCAATGGACAACCCCTTTTGTATGTCAAATTGTAAATTTTAATGTTTTCATGAGAATAGTCTTTTATAGCACTCTCCAACAAGAAGCAATAAAATAACTAACAGCAAACTTCAATACAGGAACACGCTCCAGATTAACAACTCAAACAAAAAATGTAAAATGTAAATCACATATAATACAATTGAAGCGTCCAAAACAATTTAAATAATTTTAAATATTTTATTTTTAAACTGCTACAAATGCTTTATACAATATTTCAACATAAAGTCCCCATAACAGAAATGTAACAAAATGGGAATGATAGTGAAAGGGTTAAAGTGGCATAAATTCACCAAATATTAAACTACAAATTTTAAGAGGTAGATTACTTTTAAAGTTGAGAACAAAAACAGTATGAATAAAACCTAGCCATTTTCCACCAACTCAGTCATTAATCGGGGTGGGGGTGCAGAAAAATGCATGGAGAAATGATACTTGCAGACTTAAGCAGAGGCCAATTTGTTGTCTTTAATCTCTACAGAGACTCAAGAGTAAAACCTGGTATGTAAATTCATATCTACTTCTGTGTAGACAGACATCTCATAGGCCTGGGATGCACCCTGTGCATTCACATACTGCTACATAGTCTCTGACAATATGTAATAGTTATAAATTAGTGCCAGATAATAATTTGAGAAGATAATATCCATTTGGATATACAAACATGACATGGTAAGAGGCATAAAAAAAGTCCATATCCAATCTGGTTTCCTCTCCATTATGCTGGCAATCTGCTTGTGATTTAAAAACAAAAACAGAGCAAGAGATCGGCTAAATTGCCTCTCTCTGTCTATAATTCATTTAAAAGAAAGGCATCAAGAGCTGGTAAGTGAGCAAAACGTTTTAAATGAGTGCATCTGAATTTGTCATCCCTGAAATCTACAACAAACTACTGCCAAAACAGAGGACTTGCTTTGCAAGGTTAAGTTCAAATCATTCCTTTCTCTCCTATGTGCCAAAAACAAGGGCTACACTCAGATCTGAGTTACCAGTCCCGTGACGAGAAGCCAGTTCATCTAGCCCGTCTTACAGTGCCCTCCTCTTTGGATCTCAATCACCCAGGAGCCCAGCACACGGGGTTGGGCACCACCGAAGAAGCAGATGCCTGACTCTAAGCCTGCTGGCAATCGGTTGTGTGTTAGGATTTTTGAGTCAGCTTCAACTGGTCTTGCAAGCTTGGTAGATTTCGTATCCTTTGCCGTAGTGCTTATCCTAAGTTGAGCATGCAATATCTTTTAGTCAATTAAGGTTTGTTTTGTTTTGGGGGCTTTTCTACAGGAAGTTCCTAGAAAATAAGAAAACTGAAGATAAATGACAACATAACATAACCTTGTATGAATTGACCATGTTAAAGAAAAAGGTGAGCAGACCGTAAGACAAATGTTATTAAGACAGCAACACATAAATGACTCTGAAGGTATTTAGGAACTCAAGTGTCCTACTCAGAAGACACACAGGGGAGGAACTACATGTAGGTCCATTTCCTAGTAGGTGCAGCAGACACAGAGACATGGGAAATCAGCATTTTATTTTTTTAATCAATTCATGGTAAATGGAAAAACTTGGTCTAGAATTTCATTTTTTTCTCTATCTTTAAATTTTCTTGAGTGGCTGCAAAGGAACTCAGTTAAAAAAAAAAAAAAAAGAAGTTGCTCTAAAAGGAGCATTAAAGAATGTAAAACACCTTGAGATTTACAAAGGTGA